CAACCGTTTAAATTCAAATTTTGGAAAACTAAACCTTTAGAATCCAAAATTTCAAAAAGGAGATAAACAGTCAGATGAAATGCCACATCACCAAGGAGTTAAACCGGCACTCCTTTTGAGGAAGGAGAGAGGAATCCGAGCATGCCTCATCATGAGAAAACATTTCAGATATCGTCATTAATGATTAGGATATGTGTCGATTGAGAAACACGCACTGCATTGATGATGGATACCGACCAACTCGAATTTTCTCCTTTCATTAACGACCTCTAAAGAAATGTCCCCGCCCTTTCCTCCGAGTTCGGTGGCCTGTATGTTGATGTTCGAGTTGGAAAGGGAGAGTTGGAGTTTAATACTATAAATGAGGAATTAATAGAGAAAATCAAAACTAAGTGCGAAAAACAGAATCCCAAGTCGGATCCCTATTCAACACCCAAGTCGGCTTCTCAGAGTTCGGAGTTTAACTAATGACAAGGTTGAAGAAAATCAGACCGCGATACTCCGACCTTAGGACATCGTAGAGGTCAGAGCTAAAAGGCGCAATGAAGGGAGAAATATTATAATAATCCCAATTGCAGCCCCATGATGACCGACGGGATGCTCCCACCTGCTCTGCAAGCCTACATTTCCTACGTGCCTAGGGCGGCATGTTCACATTAAATGTCTGTTATTTCATATTTAATGCCTGATATAACATATCTTACTATGAATAGTCCTAAGAATCCAATTGGGAAGGGGATAGGAAAAATCCCCCTTAATATAATTTCAAAACATGTTTAGCCTAAATAGCTGGCTTCGGAAGCTTATTTGGCAACATTACATGCTTCGGCTTTTTGTTCGGATAAAAATTATTTTTTTCTTAATCTGTTCCCCTCCAACACCAAAATAAATAGGATTCTTATATGCCGTGTACATATGATTTTTTGCTTAATATTATAATATATTTTTGCTTAATCTTTGCCAAAATAGATGTGAAACTATCCATATTAAACCATAAAAATTACACGGAACTCCAAAATAAATAGGATTCTTATATGCCGTGTAAATAGGATTTTTTTGCTTAATATTACACGGGTTAAGAATCCTATGCCAATATTGTAATATATTTTGGATTATAATATATTTTTACTATCCATATTGCTTAATATTATTTTATTTTTTTAATAAATACTACAATAACCATATTCATAATCTCGATTGTCTTGAATGTCAGTATTATATTATTTTTTTAATAAATTTACCCTATATATAAAAATATAACTACAACAACTTGGTTTATTATGTATAAAAAAAATTGATTTATAATGTATAAAAAATCTTGATTTATCACGGATACAAATTCAATCCTATGATTATCAAGACAACTATAAAATATTTTAAAATTATTCACAAAAATATTATCAAAAAAAATTATCTATAAAATTAGAATGTTATAAAAAGGATGGTGAAAATTTCAAACATGTTAATAAATTCAATTTTAACATCCATGAAAATATTTTTACCATGTTTTCAAAATATTTATACAAATATTTTAAAATAATTTATATATAGAAAAGTAAGACTTTTTTTTATTGAACTGTAACAACTATTCATGAATATTTATCTGCACGAATATTGCTAGGTCGATGCAATTTTTTCATGAATAGTGTATATTTTTAATGTGCATGAATTCCTAATCCTGTATTCAGTCATTGTCAACTTTTTGTTTCGTTATCTAGAGTTAAGAGTATGAGAGGCTTGAAAATTTTGTGTTGCGATAAGGACTGAAAAATTGTAAATAAAACTATTAATGTAGTGCACAAAGAAATTTTTCAAAATTTGAAATAATATCGACTTTGGTATTTTCTATTTTTGCACTTTTATACGACATGCGTTTTTTCTATTATTTTATGTTTTATATTTTTTTTTCAAACAACTCGTGTAGTACACGGATGTCGTACTAGTCTATTTATAAAAGACAAAAATTTGCTCATTTAATACAACATTAATAGCGACGATCCAACCCCACTAGCAGAAAAGTCCGACGTCGTTTAAACTCATTTTCTCTCAAACTCATCATATTATATCAAATTTTCATAGCTTAAATATCTTGATACCCAGGGGCGGATGCAGAAATTTGAAAGGAGAGGGGCACTATTAGGGGTGTGCATCGATGACCGAACCGAATTAGAAAAACCGATACAATTGAACCATACTATGCCAATAACCGAAATCGACCGAATTATCAATTTAAACAGAACATTAACCGACCGAACTTCTTTGTCGGTTTCGGTCGGTTTGAACTATACATTATAAAATATATATATATATATAATATAATTATTAATATATATTATATTATAATATATATAATATATATACAAATATAATATATATATATATATATATATATATANTTGGTTCGATTATTTCCATTTATTGCATATAGCCCATATAGCCCACGGGCAGACGCCCTTTATGTACTATGTTGTATTTTAATATTAATGTTCATTAATTAAGTTAAATTCATTTTAGCGAAAATTCATAATTCTTAACATAAATAATCAAATAATTAAAAAAGAAAATATATAGAAGGTAAATAGTTAATAGATCCATTCATAAGAGCTAGTTTAATCACCCAAACCCCTCAATTAAAACAATCAACTAATTACATACAACTATCATTTTTGTTTTAGAAAATAACTAAAATAAAAGATGTATAAAAATCAATCATCTAGTTATGCATTACATTCCAATGATATTTCATAAAAGTTCATTTAAGAGCCTATTAAGTTTAATTTTTTATCAATCTTTATTAGACATTTGCTCACTCTTTCTCTTTCTCTTTCTCTTTCTTTTTTTTAATATATATTTCTTGGATATATAAGCTACTAAGCCCTCTTAATCCTATATGCCCCTGCGGGCCCCTATATGGGTCCGCCCCTGTTGATACCCGCACTAAATCGGTGATTTAAATTGATCAAAATCGTTGATTTGAACATCTCCAAAATAGTAATAAATCTGACAAGTTTATGTTTATAAACCTTCTAAAAACTTATTTGCTAAAGATGCTCTAATGAATCGTGGTATATTTTCAGGTGACCTAGTTTTATTATAATAGTGTGTTAATATTTTTCCATATTCATAATTGACGAATTAAGGTATCTCAAAAAACTTTATTGGTGGCCAATTTCAATTTGTAAAGCTAGCCCCTTTGAAGTCAAGGAAGTACGACAATGAATAATCTTTATAATTGTGTTTTTATGTCGTACCTTTTTATAATTTTTGGTTTCTTTGATAAGTCTCTGTATTGTGTTGTATGATAAATGCTATGGAGCCAATGATTTAGCTCATTTATGGAGCCAACCACCAATGTTATAGTGTCACGTAGATCATATAAAAAAATAATTAATTATTTTGATGAATCAAATTTGAATGTATTTCATCCTATTTCATATACATCATAGATTAGATAGCTCATAATCTATTTCATCCTGCAGACTACTCTTTAGCTCGTACTCGACTTGGTATGATATCCTATTTCATATACATATATCTGTACATATCTCATAATATAATTAATTATTTCGATGAATCAAATTTGAATGTCTTTTTATAAACTAGTTATCGAGTTTTGATCTTACATGAAAACCAACGCTAATCTTTTCAAAATTAGTTGCACGAGTATTTACTAGTCTACTGAACCATATGCCAACTATAATATCTGGATTGTTTATTTAAGTTAAAAATAAAAAAAACTTGAATTAATCGAATTAAAGTTAATTACATGAGCCTTACACAAACTAATTAAAGTTCACCATCATGTTGAATCAAGAGAAAGCCCACTCGACGAAAATTAATTTATTTCTTGTGCAGCGATCTTCTTGTCATCATTTAAGCTAAAAATGTTAAAATATCAACACTTCTTTTTGGGAATGACCCGGAAGCATCTAGAACAATCTGGAAAAATGTGGAACGTCGTGGAACATTGTGGAAGGTTCTGGAAGCATCTAGAACGACCCGAAAAAATGTGGAAGGTTCCAGAATATTGTAGAAGGATCTAGAAGTATGTGGAACGTTTGAGAGCAATGTGGAGTCTTCTAGAGCCTTCCCAAATATTGTAGAGAATTGTAGTAGGGATATGTGTGTAGGAGTTTCGTAGAAGTATCTAAAATACCCAAGACATTAGATGTTCTAGAAAATTCCTTTAGAGGAGGTGGTGGCTATAAATAGAGGAGACCACCTCATTTGCATTGAATCCTAATAATCCAAGCATCTAAGAATCTAAGTAAAATAGTGTGTAAGTGTCATAATTAGTGTGTTTTGGTCTTGATAAGTGAAGTATTGTAGCCTGGTTCATAGTGTGTTTTGTAATTACTTTGTTAATCTAATAAAGTAATTACATTAGTGTCCACGTGTGAGCAAGTGTACCCACCCTAACACCCTAACAAAAAACTCTAGAAGGAAGTGAGCAAAAAGATAAGAACAACTTTAAGGTCCATCAAAAAAGTCCACAGCGTATATTGTAGGCGTGAAGTGAACAACACAGAACAGTATCTAAAATGAGTAACATATTTATTTTGTCCGATGCCAAAAGGACACGTGGCCACTTTTGCGCCATTCCTCCTTTTCTGATCAACACATGGCGGTTCAAGCCCGGCACCTCTACATGCTTTCTTTTCCCCAATTAATCACACTACATTATTTCTTAATTTCTATATATGCATAATCTTATCTCTCAAGGTGAGCAGTGAGCTTCCTATTAATTTGGAGTCAACATATATAAAGCAAACATATGAACATATTGTTCAAGTAATTTGATTGATTCTAGAAGGAAAACAAACACACGTCAATTTCTGAACAATTCATATATACTTAATTGTGCAAGTCTGCAATTTCAAGAAAGTAGGGATTTAAAAAATTTGAGTATTCTACTTTATCCCAGTCTGACTCCATTAATTTCAGGTTCTGTGAATAGGAGTCATTTGATTTAAATTACAAAGGAGAACACAATTAAGACGATGATTCATAAAGAAGAAGCAAAGTCGAGCACAAATAAGCAAGAAGGGCGCGTCTGGCGGGCCATTGGCGGTAAAGATCGTCACAGCAAAGTGTGCACCGTGCGCGGCTTGCGCGACAGGCGGGTGAGGCTATCGGTACCAACCGCCATCCAGCTGTACGACCTCCAGGATCGGCTGGGGCTGAGCCAGGCGAGCAAGGCTGTAGATTGGCTCCTAAACGCAGCAAAACACGAAATCGACGAGCTGCCGCCTCTACAATTCCCACAAGGCGGTTTTGTTACAAAGCACGAGCACGAGCACAGTGTTTGGGTCGAGACTAATGCAACAAAGCAGGAGACGAGGTTCGGTCTTCTCAAAAATCGAGATGATCAATTATTAAATAGTTTTCTCGTGCGCGAAAGTTTTCCGAATTATAGTCCGCCTGCCGGTCGGTTGTCGTGGGAAATGACAGCTAATCATCGGGTAAATGATGTTCGTGATTTCGGGTTTGTTAAGCCGAATGAAACGGGAAATTTGTGTGATCATCACCCACCTGGAACTGGAATGATCACCACTCAACCTTATTTTCCTCAAATGGAGATGTCGATTAATCCGGTTATGGCTTTTCAATTGGGCATGAGTACTACTGCCAATCTTCTTCCTGTGGACAATAGTGAAGTCAGCCAAGAAAATAAGCACATTCTTCGTAGCTAGCTCACTTGAAAGTCATTTATATATTATTTGGATGGCTAATTGACAAGCTCAGTCGACTGTTAACTTTTCTTTTGTTTTCTTTCTACATTCTTTTTTTGTTATTATTTTTTTTTTCTGTTTCTTTATTGGAGAAAAACATATTGTTTTTGGAGATTGAGATATTCATGCTCGGTTTGATCTATGTGTTTGTTTTAAACGTGAATATCAAGAAAGATGTTTCATGGAGAATTGAGGAAAACATAAACAAAAAATTATGTAATAGTTGTGTTACGAAATTATTTCGTAAAATGCTTACGTTTAACGGCAAACACATCCAAGATACAACTTTTGACGTGTATATAGCGGTACTTCATGTTGGGACCCACGAAGATCTCGTTAAGTACAAATCACGAATTCAAACAACGACGTTAAACCTACGCGCAGCGAATCTAGAGGTTTAAAGTTGAAAACTTACGGTTTAAAATTCGCAAACTCTGAGACGTTGAATATTTCTGATGTTGGAGATCGTTTGAAATCAAAATCTGTTGGACAGTCGAATTTCTTCTCGTCGGACGACGAGAACGTCACGGTGGCGTCGCGTAGTCGGAAGCAAGTCGTGGAGGTCGGGTTAAGCGGGGACAGCAGCTGGCGGGTCCGCCGGAAGGACGCGCGCGGTGAACTCGGGCTGCTGCCTACGCGCCTGATCGCCTGCGGTGAATCGTCGGGCACGCCTGGTCGTGAACGCGGTGGCTTGGGTGCTCGGGTGAATCGCCGACGCTTGCTGGTCACACACAGCTAGAACGCGGGCTGGCAGTGGTCGCCGGGTCTCACGTGGTGATCATCGGGATCATGTGGTCGTGTATGTCTCCGGGCTCTCAGTTACGTCAGGGACTTCTGCTATATTACCCAACACCTCTCCGGTTGTCTCGGTGGAACAACAAACACGAAGATAAAGCAGATATATGAGGGGGGCGGCCAAATGTATGCGTGTATATATGATTATATCTTATAATCCCATGAGCTTAATGGTGTATTTATAGGGCTATATCAGGGACCCTAAGGAGGTGATGGTGTGGACTTCTTAAGTCATTAGGCCCATGATATAGCCACACAAGGATAACCCGGTCGAGAAGCTCCCTACCCGACCGGTGAACCGCTCGAACAACTCGCATGTCGACATGACTCTGTCGACATTCTCACATCGACTCCCCTAAAGACGATTCTACGGAGAGCAATCGAGAAGTGGCAGAAATTGGCCTAGTCGACTCTTACAAGTCGACCTTAGTCTATCGACTTTTACTAGTCGACATCAATGAAAGAAGGGCAACAAGAGAATAACGCCCGAGCATCCCGATATCCTAAGTCGACTCTCATCAGTCGACTGAACTAAGACGACTTCACCTCAAAGGATTAGCCAAGCGTAGCCTCCGAACCCACACATATCCACGAGCCGACCTCCTAGCTCTCGAAGTCGACCTCGCATACCTCGAATAACAAAGATGTGATGACGACTCATCACACTTGCAACATACTTGAAGTTCTACATATTCTGAAGGATAAGAAGGAATCTGTTGATGACTCAGCAACAAGGGGAGACGAATCGACAGGGGCATTTTGGACCTTCTAGGTCCACCGACTTGGGCATTCTGGGTACTTCAGGTAAATATTCACTCCTATATAAAGGAGGTGAGGTAACCCTAAAACCCTAACTCTCATTCAATCCCACTCTCCCTATAGCTGCTGCGCAGCCTCTCCTCATCACTCATATACTGACTTGAGCGTCGGAGGCTCTACGCCGGAAACACCTCCGGCGTTGAGTTTTTGCAGGTATTCTCGCGGTCTAGCAACGAATTGGAGGCGGTTCAAGCAGATCTGAGCTCATAACCACCGGTTTACTTCAGATCTGGAAGTAGACCCATCATTTGGCGCCGTCTGTGGGGAGTTCTTAAAGGAAGGAAGAGCTTCACACCCAACTCCGATCTGTTTGCTGATGGCGGAGAAAGAAGGCTTCCAGAGGAACTTGAGCGAGGAGTTTAGAGGGACGTGGATGGACAAGAGGCCACCGCCGCTCTCCACCACCAAACACCCCGTAATGCAGATGATGGGAATGCCACCTTTCGGAGGACTTCCACCACCAGGACTGACGTTGGGCGGAGAAACGCCTGTGACTCCAACCGGCGTGAAGCTACAAGTGTTGACCCAGGCAGGAACAAGTCAAAACCCTAACCCAGATGGGGAGAAGGAGCCAACGGAGGTCTCTCGACGCGAGGGAAAACAGATACAGGAGGTTCCGGAACAGACACAACCCCGCGTCGAGGTGCAGCAGGTTGAGGAAAGTGGACCAGTAATGAACTTTGGACCGGCAGATGTGGGTGAAGTCGAGAGGCCGCATAACGATGCCCTGATGATAACGGCGCAGATATCGGGGTACGAGGTGCAAAGGGTGTTTGTCGACACCGGAAGTTCCGTGAACGTAATTTTCTATGAATGCCTCAGAAGGATGGAGCTTGACATTGAACTTACGCCCCTACATACATCACTCTTCGGATTCAACGGCTCAGAAGTCGCTCCCCTAGGAGAAACCATGCTCGCTGTCGTCCTAGGGGAAGGTGACTTGAGGAAAGTCAAAATGGTGAGATTTGTTGTGGTTGATGACGAGTCGGCTTATAACGTGATTCTGGGGAGACCAACGCTCAACGCATTTCAAGCAGTTGTGTCAACCTATCACATGAAGCTGAAGTTTCCCGTAGGAGATCGAGTGGGAGAAGCTCGAGGAGATCAAAAGTTGTCAAGAACATGCTACCAAATCGCAGTCAAAACCAATCAACGAGCTGAGGTCAAAGAGGGCAAGAGACCAATGACGAGTGAGAAAAGGCCGAGAGGGAGTGACCTTGAGCCCCATGGCGAACTGATGGAGATTCAAATAGGAGAGTCAAAGGACCAAACCACCAAAGTCGGGAGAGAGTTGGAGGACGAGTTGCGAGAACTGTTGGTGGGATTGTTGAAAGAATTCAGGGATATATTCGCCTTCTCGCCTGAAGAGCTAACGGGAATCGACCCGGATGTTATGGAACACAAGCTCAATGTCGACCCCCTCAAAAAACCCGTGAAACAACGACTTAGGCACCATGGCGCTGAGATCGACAAAGCAATCGAAATTGAGGTAGATAAGCTGCTGAAGGCCAAACATATCAAGGAGATCCAATTCCCAGAATGGATATCTAACACTGTGATGGTGAGGAAGGCATTGAGCAAATGGCGTATGTGCATCGACTTCCGCGACTTGAACCTGGCGTGCCCTAAGGATCATTACACTTTGCCTAGAATCGATCAGCTAGTCGACTCCACAGCTGGCTGCGAGTTGTTGAGCATGATGGACGCATCGCAGGGATACCACCAAATTCCTTTAGCACCGGAGGATCAGAGTAAAGTAAGTTTTGTGACGAGCAAGGGGACATATTGCTATGTCGTCATGCCCTTTGGCCTAAAAAATGCAGGAGCAACCTACCAGCGATTGATGGATCGAATGTTCAAACCTCAAATCGGCCGGAATATGGAAGTGTACGTTGATGATATCCTGGTGAAGAGTAAATCCTCGACTTCACACCCAGACGACTTAAGGGAAACTTTCAACACCCTTAGGGCGTTTGGGATGAAGTTGAACCCGAGCAAGTGCGCTTTTGGAGTAAGAGCAGGACGATTTCTGGGCTACGTGGTCACGGAACGAGAAATTGAGGTGAACCAAGATAAAGTGAAGGCCATACTCGACATGGCTCCACCGCGAAACATCAGAGAAGTCCAAGTATTAACGGGAAGGATTGCGGGCCTGAGCAGGTTCATTGCTCGAGCAGCTGAAAAGAGTTTCCCTTTCTTCAAACTACTAAAGAAAACGACGACTTTTAAGTGGAGTGATGAGGCACAGAAGGCCTTTGAGAAGTTGAAAGAATTCCTGAGCGAACTACCCTTGTTAACCAAACCAGAGCCTGGCGACGAGTTGATTCTATACATTTCAGTGGGGGAATTCGCTCTAAGCTCAGTGTTGTTGCGAGAAGATAGAAGTTCCCAGCAGCCGATTTATTATACGAGTCGAGTGCTCCAGGGTGCGGAGGCGAGATACCCTGAAGTCGAGAAAGCTGCCTTGACACTGGTGATAACGGCTAGGAAATTGAGACCTTACTTTCAGAACCATGCGATAGTAGTGCGAACAAACTTTCAGTTGGGAGAAACATTGGATCGACCCACGGTTTCGGGTCGACTTGTGAAATGGGCAGTCGAGCTAAGCGAGTATTCTATCAAGTACGAGCCGAGGCGCGCCATTAAGGCCCAGGCTCTGGCCGATTTCATTCAAGAAGGAACTAAAGGAGAAGAGAGGAAATGGATAATGCATGTCGACGGATCCTCTGCGGCCAAAGGATCCGGTCTGGGAGTCGTTCTAGTATCTCCCGAAGGCGAGCAACTTGACTTCGCCATCAGGATGGGATTCAAAGCCTCAAACAATGAAGCCGAATATGAAGCACTTATCAAAGGGATACAACTGGCAATTGGTGGCAGAGCAACGGAAATCGCAGCACATTCCGACTCGCAACTTGTCGTTGGCCAAGTGCTGGGAAACTGTGAAGTTAAGGAAGAGAGGATGATGAAATATGTCGAGGAAATCCAGAGCTTGATACAAGGCTTGGAGAAGTTCGAATTAACGCAGATCCCGCGAGAAGAGAATAAACGAGCCGATTGGCTCGCACGAATTGCAAGCTCGAATGAAGAAAAAGTGGGAAATCGCATCACCACGATGCACCTCGAGGGAAGCGTCCTAAGTGAAACTATGGAAGTTGACGAGAAAGATGATTGGAGAAAGTCGATTCGAGAACTCCTGAAGGGTCGAATCCCGGCAGGAGACAAACAAGAGGCGGAAAAGACGGCTCGATATTTGAGCAAATATTTCGAAGTCGACGGGATCCTCTACAAGAAGTCGATAGTTGGACCACATTTGAGGTGCGTGTCCGAAGAAGAAGGTGTTCATGTCCTAAA